GAATATTCTAGTCTTGGAAACAAACAGTATCGGTCAAATTCTTACTGCATAATCTAAAACGTTAATCCGAGTACTGTACTTCCTTTATAATAAGTCTCTGTGATAAGGGTAACACTTCACACATAACACAAATAAGAGAGCACCAAAAAATGAAAATTACTTTGCTTATGTTTCCGTATTAGAATTTTATTTGCTAAAGGGTAAAAACAGATTTGCAAAATTCACAGTTAACTTAAAACAATGGTTTTAAACCTTTTATTCCTAGCCCTTACTGCCTTCAGGAAGGAGAGAACATCTGGTTATTTAAGGAACACAATATGTTCACATTTTCTATGACTTTTGTTTCTAATTGGGTTTTAAAATTTTTTTGAATTTGAACAACTAGTGAGAGCAATGTTTTTTAATCACTTCATATTTTTCAGACTGTCCTCCTATCTCTCTCCTTATTCAGTGGATTGTTTCTGGAAATCTGCTCAGTGATTCTAATATGATAAGATAAGGAGAATTAGGACTGTGGTCTGATGAACTCAGAATAAAGACCCTATTTTTGTTGAACAGGGCATAGGATGCTACAAACAGATAGCTGACATTCAGTTTCTACATACAGCATATATTTAAACAAATTCAAATAATTCTTAGGTCACATATATATAGTGGTTTCATTTATTACAGATGTGAATAAATGTCTAATATGAATGAAGAATTTGGGTGAGTAATAGAGGTAACTAGGATTTCACTGTTCTTAAAACTAATGAAAGTACAATTCCGGCATGGAAAAGTGCTCAGAAGACCTGGGTTCAATTGATGACTCTACCACTGATGAGCAATTCGATCTTGAATATGAGTGGAAGATCCCCCAAAACTGTCCTCTTCTAAGGAGGTGGGGACCCTCATAGTACAGGCTTCCTCTGCTAGGTGAGTGTTCTAAGAACCCATCTGTGTCATTGTTGTGTTTGGCTTCAGAGAATTTTTATAATCTTTCAGTGTGTTTGCTCATTTCATGATGGGTAATTTATGAACACACCTGCCCACAATGCAGTGTTGGGCAGATTTTGACCAAAAATGGCATGAAACCCATGCCCCACCCTCCCTATTCACCTGATCTCACCCCAGAGACTTTTTCTTGTTTCCCAGGTGAAAAATGACCTCAGAGGGAAACATTTTGCCGATATGGAAGAGGTGAAACAAAAAATGGCAGAGGCACTAAAAAGTATCAAAATCAATGAGTGCAAAGACTGTTTTGAGCAGTGGAAAAAATGTCTCAATAGGTGTAATGCATCAAATGGAAAGTACGTTGAAGGTGACTGAAATTTAACCATGTGAGAATAAACACACAATTTTTTTAATAAATAAAATTTGGTTTCCTTGGGGTTCCCCCTCTAAACTTCACCTTGATCCTCAGTGTGTTCCTCTACACAAGGAGGAGCTAGATTAGACTCTCTAGGTTCTTTGCAGTTAAGTCAAGTATGTTAACTACATTCTTTGTTATGTCTTCCTTGTTCCATAATATTTGAAGGTGTTAACAAGTTTTCAGATAATTGTGGCACATAGTATATTAAGAAAGTAGATGCCCTTTAAGTTCAAGTTCTGGGGTTAATTCATCATCTTGATAAAAATGGCAGCTGACAAATATATAATTGGCTATAGCTTCTGTGAAATGTGGATATGGGTTCCAGAAATATGCCAGGTGAATGAGATACATCTAGATTAGAATCAGTATGGTGTACTGGAAGAGGCTTAGCATTTGAGTCAGAATTCAATTCAGTCTGTACTTCCTTAACATAACCATTGCAGAATACAAAGCTGGATACAAAATAAAAATGGGCAGCACCCTAAGGGGAAACAACTGAAAAAATCAGTAAACAAACAGCTAAAATACAAGGTGCTGTGGGGACTCAAAGGGGAAAACATGTCCTACCTGAGCCTGAGAATGGCATCCTGGAAAAGGGAGAATAGATGCCCGGTATCTCAGGAGATGTTGGGTGGATACAAGGCCATGGAGCCACTCTGGCTAGCTTGGAAGCTTACAGATTTTTGGCCTTGGGAAAGCTGTGTAATCTTAACTTCTCTGCACTAAACAATGGGGATAGATAACCTACTTTGCCTACCTCCTAGCTTGTTTTGAGGGCCAAATTAAGCACATCAAAGTGCTTGGGAACTGTGAAGGAATACAATCCTATTATTACAGTTTACAGGCCCATTATTGCAGTCTGTTCAAATGAGAAATCTTTCACAGTAAAGCCTACATCATGTCTGATATTAAACAACTGTAGCTCAGTGAGTGTCTCAAGCTCTACTTGCAAAGCCTATTCTCAACTCAGCAACTCCACTGGTTTAGGGATAGCAATAGGGCAAAGTGCTTTTCTGAACACTGACAATGAAGCTCAGAGTTTCTTTTTGTTATTGAGCCTGCCAGCAGCACCTGACACAACTGTCATGTGAAGTTGGGATATGAAAAGTATACTTCCATGCCTCAGACCTCATCTTTCTACAAGCTTACTTCATAGAGACTTGTGCGCTTATATACTTATTCTCATCTACTTGAATCAGGGATGATTCAAATATTTTAACTGTTTCACTGTTGCTAATAACAGAAAACACTCAAAGCACTCTGGTGTTCGAATTTTGAGAGGATACGAGTGACGTATTAGCGTCACCTTTCCCCCTACGTATCCCCCTCAGCATAAGTGGCCTCCTTTATGGCTTCATAATAGACATTATCTACACTCTAAACTCTAAGTAACCACTTGTGGATTTCTATAATATATATAAACTTGCTTTTTGTTCTTGTATCTTTGTAGCACTGGACTAAATCCTGTTAGATCATTAGAAGTCATTTCTTTATGGACAAAGGATGCTCTGGGTAGGTGGGTCAATAGAGACAATTAATTTCAACCATGAAAGAGAAAACAAACACTCGGCAAGCGTGAGTTTTCCAAAGTCACAAGGAGGCTGGGAGCAACGTCAAGATTTGACCTAGTGTTCCAATTCCCACTCAGGCTCCTTGCAGGACACTGTGCTGTGACAGATCTACAGTGAGGTGACCTTAGTTATCACTTGACTTTTACTAAATAATGCCAGGGGGTCAGCCAATATATAAACTTAAAACTGTCACCTTACTGAGTTAGCTATCTGAAAGCCCCTTAACACTATACATCTTTATTTTCCCTATAGATATCATCCATGAACTTGCTCTCAATAGCGAGTTAAACATGCTTTCACGAGCATTTTAAACTACTCCCTTCTGCTCAATTTCTTATGTTTCAGAAATATCAGTTTAAGGTTCTGTATTTTGGACCATTATCTTAGTTATGTTTTTACTTGGTAAGATCCTGAATGTAAAAAAGTAGGGGTAATTGTTTTTTAGATATGCTATTATTTTTTTCTCTTAAACTTGGAAATATATTTTTGAATGCTTATAGATTTGGCTTCATAATGTTCATATATTACATATACTACATTATTGAGATAAAAGTATTCTATTAAAATCACAGATTACACTAATAACATTGACAGATTTAGAATATAGAATTCTGCAATTAAAATAGTGAATGATTCATAGTAAGATCAACCATAATTAGCTAGGGAAAAATTACAACGATTGATAGATTTAGATAACATATTCATTTCTTCCTTCGACTAAACCATGCAAATCATGCGAGTAGATAATTCAAATAGTAATTTTTGCAATTTTTCCCACTCTGTATCGCTCTAAGAATTCCTAATGCTGAGTTGACAGAATTTACCCTAAGTTTGCAGACCAAAGCTCATTGGCCAGCAACCTCATTAATTTCTTTTCTAGGTATTTCATAATCTTGTATTTTTAAATAAATACCACTTATTTATAACATATATACATATACATACACACACACACATATAATATGGGGCTTGATTTTCAGAGTCAGATGGTTTAACCTTACCAGAAAAAAAAATGCTATCTTATGTATCAGCGAAACAAACTATATTTCTAATAATGAAATTTTGTGTTAAGAGAAATTACATACAGTGTATTTCTGCAGAAAATGAATAGAGGTACAAGGAAATAAATTATTTTCAATCCATCCAAGAATAAACAGAGAATATACTCAAATGTTGAAGTTAACAACTGAGGGAAGGGCAGAAATCCTTTTGAATCAAAATGTGTGTTGAACATGAGGCCCAGGTTGATCAGACAGAGCTTTGGCAATGGGATCCACAGACAGACCGACTCAAAGACAGTTTGACAACTGCCAGCAAGACTGTTGGGACTTCTGCCAAAGAGCCAAAGGCTGGGATCACCACCCAATGCCTGGCATTCTCCTACTTGTGTTTGAAGCTTTCTCTCTTATATTTCATCCAATATTTTTGTTTGGCTCAAATGCACCAAGAATTCACACATTTTTTTAGATCATTAAATGTTCTTATTTTCAAGAAATGTAACATTAGTTGTAAAAGAGTACACTTTTTCTCAGAAGTGTAAAGAAAATTTTGGTGACTTGCTTTAAGTTCAACTAGAGAAATCAGCATGATAGCCTATGTAAATCTTTATTTTTATTAGGTTCTTCTTCACCCACAAAATAAAAAATACATATTCATAATATGGACTCTTTTAGTATTTCATTGTATCATAAACTAGTCCCTTTTTATAGCTCTGATATCTTGGTCTTCTTCACATGGCCTCTGAGGTTCTACTTGGATAAGTTGGCCTTGTGAGGAATTGCAGTTATAATGAAGGTAGTTACAAGGAGAAGCAGTTGTTCATCTACCTTCTTGTATTATGAGGAAGGCAGGAGAGCAGGACAACCTTCTAGGTAATAAGAGACGTGTGCTCCAGTTAATTTGCCTGCTGAGTTGCTAGGCAATGAGGTATATGAGTTCTGGCCTACAACTCTAGGCAAATTCTTTCATTAGGCAATTTTTCTGCTATTAGACAAATTCCACATTAGGAATTCTCTAGAGAGAATCCAATTTTTCATTCAACTTAAGACTGTGCATCTCCCTCCTACTTGGAGGCTTACCTTTGGATCTCGAAGGAACAGAGCCTTAAGGATCAGTGAGTGGACATCCCCAATTCGTGGGTAATGCATCAAAAGGCCGAGACAGGTTTGGTAGTTACTAGAGATCACTAAATAAGAGGAAAAAAATAATTCAGAAGCAATATTTTTAAAGACGTTTGCTTTACTGAGTAAAAATGTAACTGAGATTCAAAGAAAGCAAAGCAATAACTCAATTGATTTGATCAAAGGAAATAGGGAGAAGGGATCTTTACCAATGGCCTTTGAATCAACACACTGTACTGTTAACTGCAATCTAATACACCAGCACTTCTCCGCAGGGTGTGCTGAAAGGGAAAGCCTTAGACATGGATATGTGTGTGCATTTGCAGTATAAATAAACACTCAGAAGCATGCATGTTTACTGCCATTTATATGGCTGTGTTTAAATGTCTCCAGTTTTGCTGTTTAGAAATTACAAAAATCTCACGAATGGGAAAAAACAGTTTAAATTTTTCATAAAATAATATTTACCCTGATTATTATGCTTCAGAACTTACATGTTGTACATATTCCTTTGTCTACATAAACATTACAAAATTCACCATGTAAAAAAATGTGGTATCTTCCACTCATTTGTTTTTCTAAAGGTAATAAGAAATTTAAGGAAACTATCTATGCAGAATTTCTTGGAGGAAAAATGTCAAAGTCTTCATAGACGAGCCTAACTGTGTGCCTTAGACTGTCACTTAATTCTTTTTCAAATCAACCTCATTATGGGCACAATTATTAAACACGTCTTTCAGGCAGGTCTATGTAAACCACTTCATTTCTTGGCAATCCATCTGCTGCTGCTGTCACAGTCGGGCCCACTGAGGATGCTTGTTTTGTGAGCCACACTGACTGCCTACACATCGCTGATTGTGAAGAAACTTCATGGTTACAACTTCCTGTGGCTGCAACCGCATTGTTTTTATTCATAAGAGTAGGTGAAAAAAATTCCATGGGAAAACAACTGTCATTCAACAGAAACAACACCAATGGCAAAATAAATAATTGCTTATGGTCAGAAATACCACCGATTCGTAGATTTTTTTTTTCCCCTTGTGTTGGAAACACCATTTCTTGCTACAGCTTCTCACCCCTCCCTCTGCCCATGAACATTATGGGGAAAGAAGACAGGACTGGGAGAAATGAATAATTATAATCTATGTAAGGAACCACTTTATCATCTTCATTTCCGTTGCTGATCTGACAGCTTGTAATTTCATACATCTGCTTTCATTTGTAAAGTACTCACTTATCCTACTCTTTCTATATCTGTTCAGACTCTCCTTTCCTTGTTTGTACATTTTGTCGTGTTCACATTCAGTTACTTGTTGTCCTTTTTTTCTAGAAGTCAAAAAGCCAGGACACTGAGAACAGTATAATGTTTTCTTGGAGTCCTTCTTTGAGATCTAACAAATAAAACTTAGATACCCAATTCATTTTATAACTCATAAAGTTATTCTCCCAAATGCTATAATGATGACATACCAGTAACAGACCCAGGAAGTATTCTTGTAGATTTTCGAAATGGCTATGGGCTTGGGTTACAAAGGTGTGGGTTGGAATCCTAAGACACCATTTAAACCTTTCACAAAAAGTTGCCTGAAGATTAAGTGACATAATCTATGTGACTGATTTACAGCAGCTGCTCAAAAATCTGCTAAAGAGAACTTCTCTAAGCTTAAGTGTAGTCATTTGGAAAACAACTTTCTCACTTAAAAAACTATATGCCCACCCCATTCATTTTAATAATTACACATTGAGTGCCTAATCCACAGCAGGCCCTGTGCTAAGAGGGGACACAGAGAAGAACGCAGCACAGTCCCTGCCCGGAGGAAAAGTAAACTACAGAAGGGCAGGTGTGCAACAACAAGAAGTTACTACTCCTACCACCACTAAGATGCTGGCAGATTACTGAAGGCTTTCTGAGACCAGGCCCTAGGCCAAGGTCCTAGATGATGCACTTTATCTGCATCATTTCATTAGGTTTCTATGATAATCTTATTATAAGGGAACAATTATTATCTCTGTTTTACAGGTGAGAAAACTGATACTAGGAAAGCTGTGACATTTCTCCAAATCACACAAGCCCTTGGTATATAAGGCCAGGTAAAGTAAATATTTAGAAATAGGCATAAATTCTTGTATTTAGGTATAAATCACACATAAAATAATCATGGGTTAAACATAAGACAAAAATAATGAGCTAACAACAAAACCTTAAATTAAGGCTTTAACATAATTTATTGTGTCTCTTCACTGAAAACAAGGCCAATTTGTGTTAAGTGTCCTGGAAGACACCCGGGCATGCACGGGACATCCAATGCACGCAATGAGGTCTGGAAACGCGTTTGCTGAGGGCTTACTGTGTGGAGGGAAAACTGAACAGCTACTATGTGCAGTGTCTCCAACTATTTAAAAACCCTTACTAGTTTAACTTCCCCAGCTAATAAAGAGCAACATTCAAAATGGGCTTCAAATGGACCAGACAACCAGGTGAGGGTAGAAATTAAATCATAAATAAAAATAACAAAACTTTTATTCTTTGCAGTCTTGGAGAAAGCCAAGTATAAAACAAGGTCATGTCCTCCATGTAAGGTGATTTTCATGTAGTATTTAAGACCCTTGTAAGATTTTGTCCTTGCTGGTCCTCATTTCTCTATTAGCTTTTGGGTAGAATAACATAAGACTTTTAAATTAAATTTTTGGAAAGAGGATAATTTCAAATTTGGAGTAGCACACTTGTTGTCTAGTAGAAGACTTTACTCAAGAATTTATACCTTTGAACACACAAAGGTGTATGCCAAAACTCTTGCCAACTGAAAGGCAGTAAGTAAGCAAGCATCAAGGGCAGAATTACTGGTGACCAGGGTATAAGTAGGGTATCAGGCAAGTCAGAATAACAACATGTTAAGTCCACAGCACCACTGGTACTAGCTGTGAAATGTGAAGCAAACCACTTAACTGTACAGGTGCGAGTTTTCTCTGCCATCCCCGTCTCATGACCCATCAAGGAAGTGATTTTCAACCTTCTTCCTCTCCTAGACCACATACACTAATTACTAAAATTCTGCAGCAACCAAAAAATATACTTTTGCCGATCTGACCAAAACAAATAGGTATAATTTTGACTCATTCATACCAGATGGCTGTTGTGTTGGCTGCTATCATTTTTTATTTGACAATCTCAGGGAAAAGAGGCCAGTGCCCCTGACTAAACAGGTATAGCATGTTTTACAAATTCTTGCAGCACACCGGTGTGCCTGCCTCAGCACACTGGCTGAAAATCGCTACATTACAGGAATAAATGAGCCAATACAGTACAAAAACCTTCAAGTATTTCATTGCAAATTATTAGCATTAATGCAATGATAGTAGGCATATGCTCAGAGTCCGGGCCCAAGTTCTATTTCTGCATCTTGAAAGTGTCATTGAAATGAAGTCTGAAAAAATTGGTGTGTAGTAAAATTTAGGAAAGAAACTGCAAGCCTGATTCAGTTTTGCCTCTCTTAGTTTTTAATCCAAATGAAAAAAAACCCATAGTCAGTTTGTTTATTAATTAGTTAATATGAATATAAATGTGTAGGCATATTTTATTTCTTTAAACTTAGTGATTTTTAATGCCATACTCAGAATTATAGTCTGCCAGTAAAAATGTCTGAAGTATAGAAAATATTCAAGGAAGAAGTTCTGACAATATCCATTTTTTTTGTTAGACTTCGTGTATTCACTCCTTTAACAAACATTTGTTAAATAACCATTTTGCTCCATGCACTGAGTTAAGTCTCAAGGATATGACAAGAAATAAGACACCATCTCAACTTTCTCTTTATGTTCCAGTGGAAGAGAAGCATAAAACTAATTGCAACACAGGGCAGAGCTGGTAACAGTGACACGTGCTAAGGGCTGTGACAACTCCTAGATTGGAAGACTGCGAGGCCAGTGTCACTCAGCTGCTGTCAGGGGGTCAGCCAACAGCAGGTGGAAGCACAGAGAGGTAGGACGCTGAGCAGCCCCTAGGGCCGGGATGCTAAGAAGAAATGGAGGCACGGAAGGCAAAAAGTGGGTGGCGGTTTGCTTATAAACAGGGGACACGGAGTTTAGATTTTACTGTCTTTGTTAGCATTCACTGAAAGACTGTAAAAGTAATGTGATGAGATTTGTCTTTTAGAAAGGCCGGCACTGGCAAGGGTGATTGATCAGTGGGAGGAAGGAAAAGAGGACGAGAGGCAGGGGGCGAGGCAGAGTTCCCGGTAACCCTGCAGAGAAGAGAAGAACACCTGAAAGGAAGGAATGGGAAAGGGGTGCAATGGGCAGAAATTGCTGGAAAATGGGATAGGTCTTCCTTCCTATGTGATTAAGTTTGGGGAGTGTGTGCTTATGACAAAGGAACAGAAAAGCAACAGCAGACAAGAACTTTAAAAAAATTAAAACTTAAAAATTAGCTAATTTATATAAGGCTACTCAAAGAATATAGCAACTTTTAATTATTTCTCTGTGAAGGTTTTCAACACAGTTTTTATTTTTATGAAAGTTATGCAGGTACTTGTTTAAAGAATCAAGTCATTTGTTAAGTCTGGTTATAAAACCGTACTTGCTGTCTCCTGCCCCCATTTCCCGCTCCCCAGAAGCACTTGCTTTCTTTTAGCTGATTAAAAAAATATTTACCTTCCATATTGTGAAAACCATGTGAATGTTGCTAGTTCGTATTTTAAATGTTATCAACTGGCTTCCCACCCGAGAAGACAAAGCTTAACTTGTCCTCAGCACGGAAACCTACATACCACATGTGCATTCTTTGTCTCTCCCTCCCTGAATGTTAGGTATTCTTTCAGTTTCATGTTTTGTTTGTTTTTTTCAGGAAACTGCTCTGGAGGCCTCTGGTCTACTCCCTTGTCCTGGGGATGTCTCTTACTTCTTGCAAGTGTCGTGCCCTTATTTCCTGGAGCAACTAGCTTATTCTTTCTTGGTTTATTCTCCCATCTAGTGGAGCAACATCCTCCAAAAGTTTGTGCATGGGGCATGGATTTACTGAAACCTTCTGTTTGAAAGATTTCTACTGGCAATTAATAGTTTGACTAGG